AGTCTGATTGACGAGAATCAATGAATAAGGATCCACACATCTTTTGGCACTATGATCCGTCTCGAAGGAGCACGGAGGACTTTTGATTTCAAAAGACTTCTAATAAATTAAATCAATATACTATATGGTATTTGTTTGAAAGTAAATTATTGTAAAATAAAGTAGTAAAGAAATTGAATTTAGTTTTGTGTAAAAAGTATTACAACACAATCTAGTTAAAACTTCCGAAGTTGGGAAAAATGTTATTTTTAGTACCACCTTTGCGTAGTAAAACTAAATAAAAATTCAAATCATTTAACATTGAAAACTTGTTAATAATATGCAATACATTCATTAGTCGATGCTTTACGAAAACAATTTAGTCGAAATTTCCTGCCGTAAATTCAGTGTTTTCTAATCCCTGACCTATTTTTTTTTTTTTTTTCAAATCGTTGTTTTTGTTCAAAACCACGAAGGTTGATTAAGCCAATCAATCCGGTTCACATTTGTAAAACGATATAAACTAGGAACCGTTGAATTGTGTCGGAAGTTGATTAATTTGGTCAGAATAAAACGATGGATCGGGCCGCGGTTGGTGGAATATTGTTCAGCCTAATATCAAACTTAGAGAGCCAAAGGCAGCGAACAGCCAATCACACAAGCGGCCCAAGATTGCTCTGGCTGCGTGAAGAGAATTTTATTTCTTGACTTGCTGATAAATACTAGTTAATTCTTTATTTAAAAGAATATTTTGGTAAATATGTTTTCAATAATTACTTACAGCAATGGGGGAACCTGTATAGTGTATATTATAGGGACGAAATTTGTCAGGAAATTGTTTTAAATTTGTTAACAATTATTTTATAGGCTTGATACTGATACAGGGCATCTCGTCCCTGTTGTAATGTTTTTTCCCCAACAGGGTGTTATTTCTGATATTTCGTTTTACCTACGGTTGTTTTAAAATTAAAAATATGTTGTATAAAACGAGAATCAAGACTCAACATCATGATACAATTGCTTTTTTTTTATTTAACACAAATTATGAAGTCGAATGTTTTGATTGATTAAATTTCATTCATAATACCTATTAAATGTATGTCGCATGATGATAAAATTAAGAAATCTTGTTAGGTTCACTTAAATAAAACATTGTGGGTCACATTTTACCTAAAACAATAAATAAAACATAAATTAATGGAAGAGGGATGATACTGGTATATAGATACAATCCCGTATATTCCCACCAGATTTAGTAAATATACGGAGCACACAATGCCGAGGTATTAAGTCCAAGAATACATATCCAATCTCTAGGGAGATGTCGCCCAATATTCTAAGTCTATTGTTTAGTTAATAGATTCCTAGAGAACCACGGATATTTTCACATTATTCATCAAATAGCGTGAATAGAACAAGTCTTTATTCAACGCTGCATTTTATTCTGTAAAAAATAAACGTTATAAAGGTAACAATGATTTGCGAAAATATTTTATAACACAGATTCTTCACATATTTATTTCAAGTAGTAATAACATGTATGGTGTGTTTAGTCTATAATCATCAGAACAAACTTAAAACTTATTATTACGTGTGATTAGGTTGGATATTTTTTTTTGTCTATATTATATTCCATAATTCATGTGATTCTTTAATAAACAATACAGTATGGTAAAGATAAACTATAAAGGATTTCACGAGTGCAGTACAAGCATTCGGAAAATGGTTACATGTATTTATCTATATAAAATTTGTGATAATATGAAGTGCTAAATAAGAAAAAAAATTCAACAAAGAAATGCATATAAATTAGTTTTCAAAATTATTTGGTCAGACAAAATTTACCTTAGGTCCAGACAACAACCAGATAAAATGTTTCAACATTTGGTAATGAAATATATGCATTAACCTTTAAACCAATAATGACTTATCCTAAAACTTGATTATTTTAAATTGATGTCCGCCAAAATATTTTTATTTTAATGTAGAATAATACATATTTCGTTTGTTTCAAAACATCAACCCAACAATTACGCACACAAGTGTATTGGCAATATTACTTACCTTACCATAATAACTTGCGCTTGCTGTTCCCTGTAGACTAAACGGTACATTGTCATTGTGTTATAACAAAAGACCTGTGGGACCTGTATTATGTAGTGTTGACATTTCTCTGTACATTAAACAACCAGTCCCCGTGTTTCGTTAGTTAATTATATAAGAGCATTGAATTACGTGTATCTCTATATATATGTATCACAGCTGTTACAATAATGCTTACTTTTTGGAGTCATGTTATATTTAGTACATTGATACGAGTATTGTCATACAGACGTCCGTCTGTGGACGTATTTTGAACACTATGTGTTCCATTATGATGTTTTTGTATTATTTTAAAAATATTTTTACTTGTAAACTATTTGAAATTAGATAACATCATCTAAACTATTAATTTATTTTACAGTACTATATTTCTGGACCGTATGAATTAGTACGAATCATAATTATGGAAAATTCAAACTTACTTCATCACTACAACAATAGTGGTTCAAGAATGAAAACTACTATATATTCTATCAACCTGTAATATACTGTATGTGTATATCTTATGCTGTTTGCCTTCCATGGTGACAAATATGATCAGTGTATGCTCTATGTGTATCAAGTCATGTCCGGGATCTGATGTTATTTGTAGTCACAATCTGCTCCCTTCATCTTAACACCTTCGTCACAACACGTGAGCGGAATACCATGTCTGACTTCCTTCGATATTTCAGGCAAGTACATGAAATATGTGAGGTACATTAGAGGATAAATAACTCATGAATAATATGAAAGAACGAGGCGGTGAAGTATTGTTATAACAGATATTGGGAATTGAACCTTTCATAAAGTAATGTTTGTAGTGAATGCGTACAAATGAATTTGTTTATTGTTTTAAATAGTTTTAATCACTTCAAGGTTAATAGCAGTTACGATATAAATTTATCAACATTCAATACCGTATAAAAAATTTGTTTCTGATAATTTTTTTCCTCTATTTACCAATTCTATTACGGTTCACTGGATACTTAAAGGGGAGCGAGCTGGTCTAGTGGTTAGAGCGCGGGACATCAGTCCCTGAGGTCACGGGTTCAAATCCCACCAAGTCACCAATGGATTTTATCTAAGTCATAATGCCGCAACCCCTGGGTCTAGCCTGAAGTGATGTGAAAAACAATCCCAGGCTCGCGCCTAGCGTCCTAGGACAAAAAAACTGGATACTTAAGTTTACAATGTTGTTTTGTTGGAAGTTATTTATTTCGTGGTCTTTTACTGTTGCGTCAAAATAATTTTGCATTTTTGTATTTGCTGGTAAAATTTATTAGATGTATTTAGTTTTTACTTTAACTGGTTCAAAAAGTTATAAGTATTAATTAACTACATGAATCGCTGTAATCTAATTCAGTTTCTTCCTGAACCCTGGGATTGAAATTTTATGTTACACTGGCCTTAATTTTCTATTTTAATTTACAATTGTGTTTCCATTTTGAAGCGTTGTTTTATAGTTTCCCTATTCAAATTCAAACATGAACCAACCCGTTATATTTGGACTTCGATACCTCTGGGACTCGTGTTTTCGTTCTAACAGTCTACATTGTTGTATTGTTTAGATTTCATTTCAGCTCCACCACGGTGGCTTAGTCACATTGTAATTAACACATAGCTGCTACCACATAGTTAGCTATGTTGGTAACACAATGTTACAGTATCTAAGGAAACTACGTAAATATTTGGACGTTAACTTGGACCCTCCTTTGCTTCCTTGTTTGGAATTATTGTCTCACTTTTACAACAGTTAAATTATGTAAGCTGAGCTATTTAATATAATGTTGGTATAAGTGTAATTTTTATAAGATTTTCTATAAATTTGACTCACTTCAAAGCAAGACTTAAAAGAAATGTTCTTAAAGATCCCCTTTGCCAATTTAACAAAATTGGCTTGATCCATCTTAACTCAATTTTAAATGTTTGGTAATATAAAAAATCACTCAGCGACTGTTATACCGAATTGAAAATAGGTTTTTCGTTAATGTACACTCTTGGATTTATAATTACTAACCGTTTATCCACAGTTGCATTTATTAATTTAAGTAGTTTTAAGATAAAAACACTTTTAGATCAAGACCAGCGTAAAGAAATATTGGCTGAAGACAAGAGGTTTCCATGAATGGAGAGTTCGTGTTTATCAGCCTGTGTTAACGAGAGAATCACGCTGTTAATTTTTAATGTAAATAATAAATGTAGGTTGAGTGTCAACGAAGCAAATTTAACAACACCTTGGTACTACTTCATAATAGACATAATATTTAGACTACGGCTACTTTTTATTAATAGATATGCTGATGATAATTTGTAAGTTTCTAATGAATTTGATGTGTTATCACAAACACATTTCGATTAATAAACTCTCATTTTGAAGGGGTTAAAATATAAATTATTGAAATTAAGTATAGCTTAAAAATCTCGCTTTAAATAATGCCATGGAGCTGTAATTAATACATGCAATCCCCAAATTACGATGGGTGATATCACTTGGTGCTAGTGCACAGCTCATCGATATTATTAATTTGGCAACGGCTCCCAATGTAGTTTCCCGCCCAGTTTACCAGATGAGTTTAGTTGAACCATTAGGCCATGCAGAGCATAACACATTCAAATACATGATGATAATACTATTGAAAAACTGTTAAATGAAATTTTAAAAACCTAGTTTTTGCTTTCTTTTTTAAGCTTCAAACTAGCATGATGTAATTTACGTAAAAATAAATTAAACATATAACATAATTATTACGAAGCTACTAACGACAAGGAGGAATTGATTAGTTTCAGAATCTATTCTGTACGTGATCGAAATAGTTAAGTACGACGTTCGAAGCTCTTACATTTTACATAACATACGTAATTTCACCAAATATTAAGCATTTTTCAATCTATCACATATGCCAAAAAGAAATATTTTGTCATAAAATATAAGCAAATTCCCACACCAAAAACGTATAATTGGCCATTTTAGCTACCAAACAATCACCGTGGATGACGACTATAAAGCAGATCGTGTTTTGCTTCTGGGTCTCTTAATGCGTTTTGATTGTCGACGGGTCCGGACCACGGGAATGTTTGGAAGGTCCGGGATATCCTCGTCTTCGTCTGATTCTCGTCGGTCCATAGCTACCAGGATGCTGTGGGTCAGCAGTCGAGAGGACTCATCTTCGTCATCGTCATCAGAGTAGTACTTCCTTCTGACGCACCAGTAGAGCAACAGCACAACTACGGTGACAACAGTGATGCCGAGAAGTACAACTTTGTTGTCACTGAAAATATTAACATGCATTGAATAATTAATTTCAAAGACCTTTACTGAAAACTATTTTGAAACTGTTTTAAAAATTAGAGCATAAGTGGTACACGAATGACCTCAGTAAAATTTGTATCATGAAGTCACATAGTCTTTACTAAAACATGATATCTATAATTTGTTAAAGCAATGTGCTCAAAAAGGTTTAGTCCCCTAACGTTTAGGATAATAATTGCAGGACTGAAGAGGATAAATATTTTGCTGGGTAAGATAATTTGATTTTAAAAAGCATTAACTCTATATGCTCAACAAAAATTTAAAATACCTAAATCAGGTAAAGTAACCACCGCGATCAGTATTTTAGCACTGAAGAGCTTCTCCTTCTTACACTTAAGCTCACGGTAAATGATAACATGTGTAAATACAATAGACTCCTGGTGGTGAAGTACAAGAAACAGTGTACAGTATGAAGAACAGGGTGGTATTTAATTAGTAAGGAATAACTTTATAACGGAAGTCTAGATACTGACATTTATTGGTAAATCAATATACCTCTTTTTTTTACCATAACCATCAATTACTTGAGTAATTGGTTAATCATGTATTCTATTAAACGTACAGCAGTTTGTTCTGTTTTTGTACGTACTTACGTTTTTTTTTCAAAACTATTAATTATCAGCATTTAGTATGTAATACTACATTGGAACTTAATTGCGTTGGTATACCGTTTATTCTTGATTTTCCTACAAATCACCCCAGAAACCCATTGGTTCCTCGGTTTAAGACCCATTTGGTCTCCAAGGGCGGTATATAGGCCGTCAAAATTAACATGACGAAACTACATTGCATATCTGACAAATTAATTATCTGAATAATTCCATACATCTGTAGTAGAGTTTGGCGGGAGAGGACCGCAAAATTTCAGTCAACTTGTGTGAGAGTTTAGAGATAGATGGATTTTTGCACCTCTGATCTGATATTTAGCTTCTTTTTAATGGTAATTATTATTGTATTTATATGCACTGAAAGCTTGATTTTAAAGAACTGAACTTGTATTGTCAAAATGTGAAAGCATGATTTAAGAGGGTGTAAATTAATTTACGAATAAATCCTATAGCTCAAAAGGTTAGTAGTCTGATCACAAGCTATACGATTTTAACATATACACATATGCAATATACCCTTTTCACCACTATAGAAAATAGCCTATTCCGATACATCTGAGATATTTGAAAATCGTCAATTTCCATACACCAAAAACAAATAGTGACTAGGTGACTTTTCCTGACATAAACAATACTTTGCCTGACATCAACAAAGTTACAACGGGAATTCCCGGTTAGCTCAAAAGTAGTTGTTTTCATCGTGACTAAATTATCGTTCAATAGGCCTACTCGTCACGAAAGTCCCATTTCAGGACTCGATAAAGTTTCCCACGCTCGTCTTCGACTATTAGTGACTGGTAGCAAACCTCGTAGTGAAATATACTACTTCTAAAGTGAAAGTATTAATTGCATGTAAGGTAATTAAAAACTGTGAATGTACTTTTATAGGATTAAATTTAAATATGCAATTAAAGATATTTTACCTACACAATAAGTTGAGTCAGTCTCATTTTGTCAGCTACCATGGTATGAAATGAGGGAGATATCTTTGCCTTGCCATGAATAAAAACTTGCAAATTTTGGAACAATTTCGTGGTGACTCCAGTTTCTATGGAAATCTATATTCACGTTAGAGGAGACGAATCATCGCTTTCTGTTATTTTACCGAATGGCTATATTGTTAGAATTTTTTTTTGTTGAATTCTCTACAATGTTACATTAAATTTAGTTGCTTGGCATTTATGTGCCCCTACAAAAAAAATAATTGGCGATTAGTTAAAGTGTTTGACATATGCCCGTGTGAGGTAAGCCTTTTACAGTGGTTTACTGATTAAAATGGTTGTATAAAAAAACAACACTGCACTTCAGAGAAATTGAGGCACTTTATCTTGTTCAGTAACTCACATTTAAGTATTTGTATGCAGCATATGTGTTCCAATTATTAAAATTATCTTAGAGCTCAGGAGGTAATTAAAACTGCTATAGTAAGTTATTAAACATCAAATTCCGTTCTTATATGAAAGAGAGAACTGATCAAAATTTCAATTAGTTTTCATGGATACGACAAGGAAAAATTGACTTCCGCTACTTGAGAACCTAGCCTTGAATGGAATTTAATAAACTATTTATTTGAATGTTAATTTGACCAAGCTGCAAATTTAAAAAAACGAATGACTAGTTAACCTATAACTCTGACTCTGTATCTGCAGACAAACGTAGTTAATCAGTTTGAACAATTAATTTAAAACTGTACAATCAATTACTACTGATCATTTATAATGTTGATTCGTTCATGGTTCAGGAGGTGGAAAGTGATTATAACCTTTGAAACTCATCAGTTAGGTAAACAGGCTGCGTTATTAGGACAAACAATCCCCGAGCTCGCACCTCAAGGGTGGGAATATTTACTCGTTAACATAATGCATTACTGTACCATTAATTTTATTCTTGCACATACATTTTTCTCCTTGAGTGTTAATTGCTTATTATGATTGTTTTTTAAATAATAATTGTTATTATAAATATGCAAATGTATTTTAATTAAATGAATATTCTTGAATAGTATAATTAATACCGTAATTACAAAATGGTTTCTCTTCAAGATCCATACATTACATGGCTTCAAAAAAACATATCACACGGAGTCGATTAATGTTGATCACGTTTTTAAACAAAATGTTGTATGCTGCTAGCTAGAACTGCCAAGAACTGGCAGCTGCGATTTTTGAAAAAGTTCTTTTCAACTTTTTAAATCGTTAACAAGACTAAATTATGTTTTATTTCATCGTTAGTTTTTCAAAATTTTGTTTGTCGTAATTTTGAAGAGTTCTTACAGTTAAAAGTTTATTTTATAAAATTCACGAAAATTACTATCGTTACCTATAGTATATATATACAGGGTGTTGAAAATGTCTGGAACCAACATTATATCTGGTGAGTGGTTAAAGAAAAACAACTGATATTTTGTATACGGATATACTATGGTTTTACCTATCTTTTGGTGCCTTATGAAATTTTTTACCACTTATAGGGAACGTCCCGTAGAGGATGCAGTAAAAAGTTTTAATGGAAGCCTATGGTAAATGATACATCATTTTAAAGGCCATTTTTTTCTAAATAAGGAGCCACAAGTTTCATCTCAAAAGGACCACCCTAGCAAAAATGGCGACTGTTTGAAATTTAAAATTCAATTATTTTCAAAAACTTCAAACAGTCACCATTTTCGCTAGGGTGGTCCTTTTGAGATGAAACTTGTGGCTCCTTACTCAGAAAAACATGGCCTTTAAAATGGTGTATCATTTACCATAGGCTTCCATTAAAACTTTTTACTGCATCCTCCACAGGACGTTCCCTATAAGTGGTAAAAAATGTCATAAGGCACCAAAAGATAGGTAATTAAAACCATAGTATATCCGTACACAAAATATCAGTTGTATTTCTTTAACCACTCACCAGATATAATGCTGGTTCCAGACATTTTCAACACCCTGTATATATATATATATGATGCAGAATTGGTGCCTGTGTGAATGAGTTTCATTTCACAGATATTCGCTAATAATTCCTGTTCCAAGCGAGCTTTCAGCAAACTCAGAAAAATTTAAATACTGTAATTGCTTTACTAGATATAATATTTTATTCCTAAGGATTTGGCACTCCAGAATCTACAAAGAAATATCTTATTGGTTTATTTCTTAACAGTGTAATGCGCACTTAACAGACTCCATCGACAAAACTTGTAATTAATTTATGGTTTTGATTTTTCTGGTTTAGTAAACAACTTTTCTTTCACTACTATTCCAGGCGTGTGACGATTGTTCTCATCGTAGTAGCTAATGATGATTTCTGGGAAAATCTATGCTACCGTCAGGTATGAATAGTCGTTCTGAGTTTATGTCTATGGGCTAAGTCACTATAATTCCATCACCCGCTGTCATTTGTGAAAAGAGTAACGTGTTTATACAGATAACATAAACATTTCAATGTAATTTAAAAGACGCAGATTTATAAACTGGCTGATGTTCATAAGTTTGGCACTGACCAAAGATAGGGACATTTTCGCAAGATGATGATCGTAATTGCCGAACTGAAGATAAGACAATATATGCCACTAAAGATTACCATAGTAAGTCCAGATAGACCTAAACAACTCCAGTATAGTCTGAGAGTCTGAATAAGCCGATCTGAGGGTAAAGTATTCTCAACATTCAACAGTCACTGTCTCTATGGAAACTGTTAAACGTAGGCAATTCTTTTACATCTAAACACTATTTCAGGGATACATTTATCAAATGACAACCAAATGTATCACTTTTTACAAAGAAACCTAATCTCAGAACGCCATTCTAATTTGGCTAGAGAGTCGAATTCCCCGATCACCATCAGCTACTACTCAGAGGACGTTTGAGTGACAACAAAGAGATGTGATATCACATCAATCTGACACTGTCACATCAGTGACGGTCACATTACGTCATGCTGAGTCGGCACTCGTGCTTGGTGGAACAGCTGATTAGCGTGCTTATCATGCAATATAAAGGGTGGTCCATTAATAAAGGATTATTTTAAAACAAATGTCTATCAGCTGTTGTTACACGTAAATTTGTACTTAATGTATTATTCAACAACAAATAGCATGCCATTAGAGTACTCATGGATTGTTGGACAGTACAACACCGTGCCTTGTGCAGTGAAGACTATTTTAAAATTAACGAATTGTAGCTGGGATTGTAGCTAAGTGGTTATTTCAAGATCATTTTAACGTCCAAAATAATAGTGCGGTCCCCTCTAGGAATGCTATCTATAGGAGGGAGTTTAATTTAAGAGCTAAGGGATCTGTTTTCATAATAAATCTCCGGGAAGGTCCAAGTCTGTACGTAGAGCTGTGAACATCACAAGAGTTCGGGAATCTGCTCTCCAAAGTCCAAAAAGGTCGGCAAGAAAGCATTCTGTTGCTTTACGTTCCAAGAGCCAGTTCGCATCGTATTTTTCATTACGATTTAAATTACGTCCCTACAAACTAGTTTCTGCACAGAACCTCAATCAAAGTGACCCTAGATTAGTTCTGATCTTTTATCAAAGACCCTTTCAGCTTATTGGGGGTGAAATCCTTCTTGGGCACCTTAATGTCACTTACAATTAAAATATGCTTCATATGCAAAAGGCACGGTGTTGTACTAAATGTCTAATAACGATCCATGATTAATCAAACGACATGATATTTGTACCTGTTTAGCGAGATAACGAATGATTTTATATCCAACTCATCTTGTATGGATGTCTTACATTTCTAAATACTAACATTTTAGCTGAAAAGCCAGTTTATAGTCAACATAGCTATATCAAACTCATTGATTTTATATACAAATCAATTGAAAGGACTGTACATTTTATTATAGGTCAAAAATAGCCACTGGCTTCTGGTCTCTGGCCATAACGGAAGACAATTTCAGTGCAAAATTAATGAGAAAAGTTATGGAATATGTTGTAAAAATTTGTAAAAATATAAGCTATAGAAATAAAATGTGTAAATAATAAAAGAGGAATCATTGGTTAAAGATATATTCAAGCAGCAAAGATGGTGAATGAAACGCAGCTGATTATCCTTGATAATTTGTTCCAATCCTTTGTAAATAAACTCTTGTTTTGAAAGTATCACCTATTAACTCTCTGTTCTTGATTTTCATGTGAAGAGGAAACCGAATGTTACTTTTAAAAGTGCTACTCGGAGCCTATAAACACAAAAATCCCTTAAAACTCTTATTTTTCATAGCTTTTATTTTTGCAGAAAAAAAAATGAGCAACGCAATGAGCTTTGTTTGTATGTGACACAACCACAATAAAATGTCATATTAGCTTCACACCATGTTTTAGTGATGACAGCGAAATACCTCATCTCTTGTCATAATTGCATTGTTTTGTCAACGTTTATGAGAACACTCAGGACGAAGAGAAACAATAATACCAATTATTTCATCAGCAAACGCGTTACAGTGGGCTTTTAACAACTTTTTTATTGTTTGTCTATATATGTTTTATCTTAGTTTTTGTTATTCATTTATGTATTCTTTCAAACAATAATTTATACAAAATAATTAATAATTATTTGTACAAACATTAGGTCTGTAATAAAATACAAGATACGAATACTTAATTGTAAGATTATAGTGTTGTCAAGAGATCCTTGCCTTTGTCAAATATAAGGTTAATTTGATTTAATATCATAAAAAGACTAAGGTTACGTAAAAAACAGGAGTAACTAAAATACTTTATATGCAATTTGAACTGAGTCTATTAATTATTTTTTTTTTTTTATAAAAATGGTTAGCAAAGAAAACAATGAAATTCCAATGCTATAGAAAACTAATAAACCAAAGCATTTACGTTTTTATATAAGTATAATTTTCCAAACGACTACACTTTTTTGACCAAATAATTACACAACACGTATCGTATTAAACGTACAATTTGTAATATATTCAATACGAATAACTTGTCTCAGTCGGGGTTCTATTTATCAGATATCAACTCCAGACTACTTCAGTTCTTGTAAATTTATGAACTGTTCTGGCAATGACATTCAACATTTACTCAACGT